ATTCAAGGGCTTTCCTAGCAATAAAGCTGTTAAAATGTTTTTTTTTTTTTTTAAAGGGAATAATGATGAGGAAGAAAAGTTTGTGGGGCCAGTGAATGGCTCATTTGGTAAAAATACTTGCAACCAAGCCTGATGACCAGTGGATTCCCAGGATCCACATGATCAGAGAGAGAACCGACTCCTTCCAAGTCATTTTCTGACATCCATATGCTCACCACGGCATGCCCTCACACATACCCCCATGCCCCTCCACACCCCACACCCACATCCCCCCACACACACCCCACACGTACACCACCACCACCAATGCCATGACCACAACAACAACCATCCCAATGTGCTTTTTGAAATGTTTGTATATGTTTGGTGCAGGTGCAAATTTCAAGTATTTTGCCACACAGGTCTGTGTTGGGGCAAGCAGATAGATGACTATTCACATGGCAGTTATCTCTGATTTTTTTGTTACGTTTATTTATTTAAGGTGTGTGTGTGTGTGTGTGTGTGTGTGTGTGTGTGTGTGTGTGTGTGTGTGTATGTGGTACATGTGTGCATGGCATGGTACCACGGTGTGTGGGGGACGGAGAACTACTTGTGCGGGTTGCTTCTTTCTTTTCACCGTGTGGCTACCAGGGGTTAAACTCGGGTCATCATCCTTGTCGGCCAACACCTTTGCCAGTGAAGCCACCTTAGCGCCCTCACCTACCGCTTCCTGAGTGTCTGAACGTCTGTCTAACAGTGTGACGGCTAACTTTGGTCAGCTTGACTGGGTTTGTAATCACCCAGGGGACGCACCTCAGGGTGGGCCTGTAAGAATGTTTCCAGAGATCTTTAAACGGAGGAGGGAACGAGCGTGGGCAGTGCGACCTCACAGACTGAATAAAAAGGGAAGAGAGAAATCGAGCTGAGCATCCATGGCGTCCATTGCTCTCGGCTTGATGGCGGCATACACTGTGACCAGCGGCCTCACACTCCTGCCTCCAGCTTTCTCTGCTGTGACGGGCTGTACTCGCTCTCAAACTGAGCCAATGAAGACCTTCCTCCCTTGAGTTGCTTTTTGTCCGGTGTTCCGCCACAGCAACAAGGAAGCTAATACTCACTGTGAAAATCACAGACACAGCAAAGAACTGGGGTCAGAGACGCCCACGGGGAGAGCGAAGGATCTGGTAGCAGAAGCACTGGTGTCTCCACTCAGGAAGTGCTGGCTACAGTCACAGCGAGGAGTGATTCCAGGTACCGGAAGAGTTGCTCCCAGGGGCCCTACGACCTCCGTGGTGACTACAGAAATAGGACCCATCAAAGGACTCTTGGGAGTAGGACACCCAGTAGAGAGTGATAAAAGGAATGTCATCACTCAGGAATTTATTAAGTTCACTCCTGAAAAACCCCGGCTTCTTTAACATTTTTTTCTGGGCAGAACATGATGCTTGTAATAAAAATAAAATTTCCCTCTTGCTTCCCCATAGAAACGACTAGAAAACAAATGACGCTGGGAGGGTCATAGAAACACAGGCATGTGCTCTCTTCTCTGCTCCTTTTATCAACTCACGATGGCCCCAGTCACAGAAAGACACAAAGAAGCCAGACAGCCAGGTCCTCCCAGGACCACAGCCCCTCAGCAGAGGCCCAGCACTGGGTGACTCAGCCGTCATCACCAAAAAGCACCTCCCTCCTGCTGGCCTCAGCTTCCCCTCTGCACACAGGATGACAACTCAGTGTCCACAGCTCTCCAAATACATAAGCATGCTTGAGTATGCACTGAGGAATTCTCGTAAAGTGTTTTGAGCTCCCAAAAGGAAATAAAGTGCTTAAATTGTTTTTGTAAGCCTGTTAATAAGTTTCTAACTCCTAGTCTTCAAAGAAGCTGTCCTCTAGGGTACTGTATTTTTATCTCACCCAATGTCAGAACAGAGACTGCGGTTACCATGGAAGCAAAAGACACAGACATACAGACACACAGAGGCACACGCACATACGCACATGTACACACATACACACACACACACACACACACACACACACACACACACACACACACATTTCCAGAAACAAGAGGCTAACTAAAGACCAGGGCAGTTAGGTGGCTAAGAGGCAAGCTTTCGGTCGGTCAAGGAGGTCAATATGCACAATATGTCTTTCAGGCCGTCTGTGATGCTAACATGCACTGAGGAAGGAAAAACATGGAATGACTCAGATTGACCATCTACTGTCGTCTAAAACCTAAACAAGACGTCAACACCAGTCTGCAGAGAGATGGCTGGTGTCCTACTTTTTTTCCTACCTCTGTTACTGTGACAAAACGCTGACCAAGAGCAACTTGGGGGAGCAAAGGGTTTATTTGGCTTACACTTCCACATCACAGTCTGTCACTGAAGGAAGTCAGGACGGGAATCTGGAGGCAGGAACAAAAGCAGAGACCTTAGAGGAAGCCTGCTTACTGGCCTGCTTACCATGCATGGCTTACTCAGACTCCTTCCTTCCTTCCTTCCTTTCTTTGTTCTTTTCTGGTTTTTCAAGACAGGGTTTCTCTGTGTAGTTTTGGATCCTGTCCTGGATCTCACTATGTAGACCAGGTTGGCCTTGTACTCATAAAGATCCGCCTGCCTCTGCCTCCCGAGTGCTGGGACTAAAGGCGTGCACCACCACTGTCCGGTTCAGCCTGCTTTGTTATAACACCAAGGACCACCAGTCCAGGGCTGGCACCTCCCACAGTGGACTGTGCCCTCCCATATCAATCATTAATCAAGAAAATACCAAGGACCTATCTACAGCCCAGTCTAATGGAGGTAATTTCTCAATTGAGGTTCCCTCTTCCCAAGTGTGCTGTCTAGTTTTATGTCAACTTGATACAAGCAAGGGTCAGAGAAGAGCAAGCCTGTAGGGCCTTTTTTAAATTGGTGATTGATGGGGAAGGGCCCAGTCCATTGTGGATGGGACCACCCCTGGGCTGGTGGTTCTGGGCTCTATAAGAAAGCAGGTTGAGCAAGCCGTGAAGAGCAAGCCCGTGAGCAGTGGCTCATCCATGGCCTCTGCATCAGCTCCTGCCTCCAGGTTCCTGCCCTGCTGGAGTTCCTGTCCTGACTTCCTTCAAGTGATGGACTACAAGGTGGAAGTGTAGTCAAATAAACCCTTCCCTCCCCAACTTGGTTTCAGCCACGGTCTTTCATTACAGCAACAGTAACGCTAACTAAGACACCAGGTGACTCGAGATGGTGCCAAGTTGACCAAAACTGACCGGTAGCTCTGTATGCAGCGGCTGTGTGCCAAGCACAAAGAGTAGCAGGAGAGTACCTGCCTGTCGTCTCAGCTCCGCAGGGAAGAGGGCATTTCATTCAGGCAGACCGAACAAGTACTGACTGTGTGGAACATCCTTGAGCACAAAGTCCAGGCCAGAGCATGAAAGCCATGGGTAGAGGGTAGAGAACTTCAGCTCTGTGGCATCCTGGCCACCAGACAGAGATGATATGGGCAGATGGAAACACAGCATAACTGGTGTGGAGGTATTTACACATGTGATCCCATCTCATCCTTACAACAAGCGAGGCATTCTTGCATCTGTCTTACAGACGTGGAAACCGGAAGCCATATGCCATCAATTCTGTGGTCATGGCTGCGGAGCGAACTGCGGCTGTAACATGGGTCACCTGACAACAAACTCCTGGTTTCCACCTCCTTCTCTCTTCTTTATTGTTTGCAGAGCTGGGGAGCAAACCAAGGGCTATGCAAATGCTGCGTAAGCCCTCCATCCCTGGGCCACACCCCTTGCCCGTCCAATGTCTATTCTTTCCTTTTTTTCTTTTTGGATCCAGTAGACACTATATCCAAATACACTCTAGCCCAGGGTGGCCTGGAAACTTACTATGGTGGACCTCCTGCCTCTGCCCCCTAAGTGATGAGTTACTAGCATGAGCCACCATCCCTGGCTCAAACTCTTTATTCTACAAACTTGTCACTAAGATGGGGACAGTCTCACTAAAGTCACCACTGTCTTCTGCTGTCAGTCTTTTCTGAGAATCCAGTTGCGAGGGCTGAGCTGTCACCTTGGTGGACGAAGGGAGGACAGTAATCTGGAAGGTCGCCTCAGGTCTCAGGTGAGGACAATTCTATTCCTAAAAGTATTCGGATAGAACTTGTGGGAGGGCACAGCTGGCAAGGTGCTTGCTGCCCAGCCCGGCAGCCTGAGTTCAATGCCCAGAATGGTTTCCACATGGTGGGAAGAGAACCATGTCCTGAAGGTTGACCCCCACGTGCACACCTCTACTCTACACATATGTGTGTGTGTGTGTGTGTGTGTGTGTGTGTGTGTGTGTGTGTAGCCAGTTATGGTGGTGCATACTTTTATCCCAGCAGATCTCTTATGAAGTCCAGGTCAGCTTGGTCATAGCTTGACAGGGCTACATGGTAAGACCCTGTCTCAAACAAAGACTTAAAAAAAGTATTCGGGTAGTGTGACCCTTTTTCCTAAGGCATTTTATTTATCTAAAAAGTCCCGCTAATTAATGTATAATCTCTCTGTGAACACCTCTTTACAAGGCTGTAGAAGAAGAGCGTAGTCATCAGACATCTCCCTGCATTATTTGAAACAGTACTTCTGGGTTAGAAATAGTCCTGTTGCTTGTCTTATCAGCCCTGCTTCCCGCTGGGAATGCAAATGCACATTTGATTTGTGGTGACACCGTGTGGCCAATGTGGGAATAACCTCACGATAAGTTAGGATTATATGTTTGGTTATAAAACACTCATCCCTGGAGCAAGGCTAAATAAATGCAGAATTTGGTACTTTTACATTTTGTTTTGGTTTGTTTGAGGGAAGATTTCACTAGGTTCCCTGGACTAGTCTCAAATTTGTAATCCTTCTAGCCCAGACTCCCAAGTGATGGGTTACAGATATGTGCCTCCTTCATGTCTTTGGAGTTCATAAAAATTCCACAGACCTGGCTCAACTCTTCCTCCCTCCTTCCTTCCCTCCCTCCCTCCTTCCCTCCCTCCCTCCCTCTCTCCTGTGGATTCATGTTACGTGTGTGTTGTGTAGAGGTGTGTTCATGTATGTAGATGCTGGTGTGCATGCACACATGTGTGACGGCCAGTGGATAACTGGGTGTCTTTCTTATTACTCTGCACTTTAGTGTTTGGGATGTCTCTCATAAACCTGGAGCTCACCGATTTTCCTAGAGTGGCTGGCCAAGAAGCCCCGGAGATCTTCCGGTCTCTGTCTCCCCAGCTGGAATTAGAAATGTGTATTGCTGCACCTGGCTTTTTCTTTGTCACCTCAGTGCTGGGGATCCAAACGCAGGTCCTCTGGTTTCCAATGGCAAGCAATATTATCAACTGACCCATCTCTCCAGCCCCTTAATCGACCCTTTAATATTTATTTATTTAATTATTTATTTACACATGTGTATTATGCATGCTTGCACAGGCCATGATGTACATATGGAGGTCAGAGGACAACCTTGGGGAGCTGATTCTCTCCTTCACTTTGTCAAGGCAGGGGTCTTTTGTTTTTGCTGTTTCGCTGTAAAGCCCAGGATAAGCTGGGCTATGAGCTTCCAGATGGTTCTCCTGTCCCCACTGCCCATCGCACCTCGGGGGTGACGAGGGTGCCGATGCGTCACACTGCATCTGTGTTTTCAGTGGGTTAGCAGGCTTGTGTGGACTGTTCGCACCCACGGGGCCATCTCCCTGGTCCTAATCTACCCTCTACCTAAATGCCCTTTTCCAGCATAAGAAACCAGGTTCCTTGGAGGATGGTTAACTCTAGCTTGAGAGCAGGAAATAGCAAGATGTGCTTGAAAACAAGGAAGACGCCGAAGCTGCCGAGAGGCGTCAAAGGATTAAGAGACCGACACGAACCAAAATGGTCCCTACTGGCCCCAAGTGAGACAATTTGAGCATAAGTGAGAATAAAATCCTCAGAGCCTGACATGGTGGTACACACCTGTAATCCCAGGACTCAGAGGGTGCAGGCTGTGGGGATCAGAAGTTCAAGTTCGTCCCTGGCTTCATAGTGAGTCCTCAGGCCAGTCTCACAAAGGGAGGGAAGGGCTGGGGAAAGGGCTCAGTGGTAAAAGTGCTTGCATGAGGTCCTGAGTTTGAGTCTGCAGTCCCCACAATAAAAGCCAGACACATAGCGAGAGCACCTGTAATGTCAGCGCTCTACTGGGGTGACAGGAAGTGGAGACAGGAGACTCCCAGGAAGCTTGCAGGACAGCTGGCCTGGTGTATGTAGTAGAAAAAGAACAGGCAGTCTGTCTCAGATAAAGCGAACAGCAAGGATCAATACCCAAAGCTGTCCTGACCTTCACACCCTCTCCACGGCATACCCATACCTGCATTTACACCCACAACAAATAAATAGATTTAAAATGAAATACAACAAAGAACAAGTGTGAAGTAGGGCAATGCATCCAGCATGTTTAAGACATATGTTTCTGTTGATAGTAAAATCAAAAACAAACCAACAGAGACAGAGAGGAAGATCACTCACTGCCTTTGGAAGACATCAGAGAAAGAAATGGCCACGCTAAAGCCTAGCAGAGGAGGAGAAGGTAGCAGCCATGCACCTGCTCTTTCTATATGACTCTACCTTGTAAAAGCAAACAGACAAGAGGGGAGACTTTGGTGAGGTACGCCAGCTGATAGATGAAGATGCAAACAGGGGACATTATTTGGTAAGCTCCAATGGGACAGGCACACAAACAGCAACATCCAAGGTTAGTGGACACTGGACCCCAATAGGGCTCAGTACCTAGAGACACGGGAACCCCACCAGGACTCAGTACCTAGAGACATGGGAGGCCACCAGGACTCAGTACCTAGACACAGGAGCCCACCAGGACTCAGTACCTAGAGACACAGAAGCCCACCAGGACTCAGTACCTAGAGACATAGGAGCCCACCAGGACTCAGTACCTAGAGACACAAGAGTCCACCAGAACTCAGTACCTAGAGACACAGGAGCCCACCAGGACTCAGTACCTAGAGACATGGGAGCCCACCAGGACTCAGTACCTAGAGACATGGGAGCCCACCAGGACTCAGTACCTAGAGA